GGTGATAAAGCCAAGGGTGTGCTTAGATTTATTAAACTGTCGTCGAAGAAATTCAATGATCCCTATTTTACTAAATTCCTATATACTTCTTTAATTCGTCCCATTCTTGAATATGATTCTTGAGTCTGGAGCCCTCAATACGGCGTCTAGAGTAAACTCGCCGAATCGGTTCCATAAAACTTTTTACTATTCGCCCCACGCGATTTAAATTGGGATGAAAACCAAAAATTACCTTCCTATTCTAATAGACTTCTTCTAAATACCTTGCCTTCCTTAGCCAACCGTATAATAATGCTAGGTATTGGTGACTTGGGAAGTGCCGAGTCAGCTCAATTTCCACGTACCGTTTTATGGTACTAGATCCTATCATATATACCCTTAGTATTGCGCATTGTAGAAAATCCTTTAAAATGCCTGCATCTTTCAGAGTCTTACGAGCAAATTACAATAAATTCTACAACGTAATCTAACACGTAGTTATCTTTTCTAAATAAAGAACTTCAAACCTAACCATTTTAGTACACATGCAAGCAAATAATCTGGCAGCACTCCAGTAGTTAATTTGCTCGCATTGTTATACCCTGGCAATGTATTATAATTTGAAGAAGTCATCTCCGACCATATATATATTCTTGATCAGCATCAACAGTCAAGTCGATATAGCCATGTCCGTCTGTCCGTTTCAACAAAAGCTAGTCTCTCAGTTTTGAAGCCATTTAAACGAAACTTTGCAGTTAGTCTTCTATCGACCGGATCGGACGACTACATCACATAGCTGATATGGTAAGGATCGGAAAATTAGTAGAAAAAAAATTATAACTTTTTCAGTTTTCAACAGATTTTCATCAAATTTGAGGTACAGCCCTTTTTTATTATTCTAATATTTCAATTTTAATTAAAAAAAAATTTAGGTGCCATACAATTAATAGTTAGATATAGAGAAAAATACAAAACTGTGAAAAAGGAAATCTGCTTCGCTAACCGCCATATATGGATAATTCTCTGATGGCGAATTCGACATTCGTACGCATTTAAACTAAAAAAAAACATGTGCCAAGACTTTATTTTAATTTTACAAAATTTAAAACTATTAGCCCTTGGTTAGCACCATAATAACAAAAACAGAAGTTTCATTAGCAAGAAACCATTTTAAGCTCTAATTTCAGCGAAGAGTGATGAAAAATTGTAATACAATAAACTTTAATGAATTATGCAATGAATTATCTTAATAATGTATTTTGTTTGACTTTAAAATATTATGAAGTTATTTTTTAAATCCATTTTTTAACCACCCTGACATTTTTGAAAAAAAAAATTTTTTTTTTCCATAATATTTTCAATATTCTTAGGGTTATTTTAAGATATTACAGTCATTAGAAGTGAGCGCTGACGGTATACCTTAGGGTACTTTCTTAATCTTATTTTGCGTTTTTCTCAAAACTACGTTTTTTGGAACGGTGTACATGATTTCTCAAAAAACTGCTTCTTCAAATTTCTTACACAGGTGCTCTATAAAACTCTCTATGGCATGTCGTAGGATTTTTTCGATATGTTTTGATTTTAAGTTAAGTTTTTAAAATTCCGTAAAAAAAAAAAATTTTTTTTCAAAGTGATTCTTTTGCTAAAAAAAAAATTCCAAAAAACGCATCCGGCATGTTATAGCTATACTTATATGGTAGGTTTCAGTGGTGAGGACCAATACTACTACCTCTTATTAGAGCTAAACTCCTTTTTGTTCCACTCTCTCTGTATGTTGTTGGTAGTCCTGATCACTATCACTATCAACCAGAGTCAGTAACGAAACCTAGGATTGCCAATACCTTCAGCTTTCCTATGCTTTCCAGTGACTCCATTTGGAAAGTGGCGAAGTCTGATTTGATTCAGCGCTAGGCAGAAGCAGAGCAGATGTTCCGATGTCTATTGCTCTGTATATTGCTTGCAGATTCTATGGCAGTCCCATCTTCATTGCATGCCATCCGATCGCCCAATGTCCCGTGGTGACTGCCGTGATCCTGCTGATATCCCGTCGATAGCAATTCACTGGTTCGTTTTTTGTCGTATCTCGGCAAACATTCTTTTGACCTTCTGTGCGCTCTTACTTAGCCATTCCTTGTTAGCTATCTGCTTGAAGTGGTCATGGATCCTTGTAAGACGTTTTGCGGTGACCACTATATGTCGGAACTGGATCATCCGAAATTAAAAACCCAAACACATTTCCTATGAGTAATGTCAAATCTAGTAATTAATCGAAGGAATAAGCAAAATAATTTTTTTTACAAAATGGCAGTTTTGCAAAAAAAAATATCGATTTTTCCCCAAAATTTCCGCCTTAAATTGTTTATAAAAAATAAAATATTTATTGGAAAGAAAAAATCTTCGATTAATTTCTAAAAAATATATTTAAGAAGGTAGTGTTAAAATTTGAGACTAATCGAGCTAGCCGTTTTCGAGAAATGTTGGTCACCGACTTTGAAAAGACCATTTTGAGAAAAACACGTTTAAAGTTTGGAATGCACTTTACATAGAGCACTCTGAAATTCATTTCAGATTTACTTATAACTCAGGAAATATTCACCGGAACTAAATCAAACTTTCTGTGTATATTCTTAAATATATTTACATTAAGATAATAAAATAAAATAAAAATCTATTTTTTTTTTTAATTCTAACTGTATGTAACCCCTTAAGTTACCGGAGTTATTAATTTTTTGCGATGTGCGTGGTACTTGACGCTCAATTACAGTGGCATTGTTTTTTCTAAATATTCACGAATAGCTAAATTTGATCATTTGGTCTCAGACGAAATGGCAACTACCGAAGACAGAGCTACACAATACAAATTTTAATCCTACGATCCAAAAATTTGGCTTAGAGCGGAGTTGCCGATTTTACCCGGACAATGAAAAGCCAGGCTCTTGTGCAGACCTGGGTGATCTGAACCTGCCCTTATGTGGTGAACCCTCCTGCCCAATCCCAGACCCTAACTTCATTGAGAACTTGTGGGTAATTTGGGATTTAGCTATTCGCAAGAGGGCTGCATCCAATAAAAATTAGGTCAAAGCTGTCCTCTTGGAAGAATAGGCCAAGATTCCAAAGACCACATAAAAGTAGGTTTTTTTATGAAAACTCGTTCTAAGGATATAATCCAACTATATGAAAGCCACACAAAATAATAAGATTAAAATCTACTATATTTAATATAATGTTCCTCTTTAAAGATTAACAATGTTTCATACCAATTAACGAAAACATTGATTATAATAATCGTCTTATCTCTGTTTTGTACTTTTACTTGGACGTACATATATCGCACTTTTGGCAATTAATGTTTGCGCCTTTGGCTGGAAAATAAAGTTTTCAATTAAAATAAATAAATTTTTTTGACATCTTAGAGCTGCTCTATTAGGTGTTGTCGCTTCAAACATTTGCTTCAAATGATGTTCGTGCCAACGTTGCCATCCATTGTCGAGCATGTTGTTGCGAACACAAGCAAGATAGAATGATTTCTATTTTGTTCGAGCGGCTCGACGAACACGAAATTTGTACGCGAGCACTAGCACTAACGATGAAAATTTCGTCGAGCTCAACATGCTCGGCCAACATGTTCTACTGTGGATGGGCCCCATAACTGAAACTTTCTGTGTATATTCTTAAATATATTTACTTTATGTAACCCCTTAAGGAGAGTTTAACTGCTTCCTTTATGGCTAGTACCTCAGCATGAAAGACCGTCGCGAGAGATTCAATTCCCCAATTCTCAGCGTAGATCCCAGCCCTTACGCCACAGCTCATCTTGGAGCCATCGGTGTAGAGGGACACATCGTTCTCTACTACCTCTTTGTCCCTGCTCCAGTCTTCCCTTGTAAGATATGTGGTCGAGAATGCATTCCCGAAGTTCAATTCCGCGATCATGTAGCCAGTCTTTTCGTTTGCATTTATACCGCCGTGCCCGGCGCCGTATTCCCTCCAGCAATTGCCAGCCTTCAGTCTCACTGCGCTCTGTGCTGCAATGTCCTTCTCGAACAGTTCTATCGGCATTATATTCAGGATAGCGTTGAGGGCAGCCGGGGTGCATAAGCGCATTGCTCCCACGGCCCCCGCACTCGCTGCCCGTTGTATCCGTGTCAACTTCGTTCTGTTGCATGCCCTAGTTAGTGCCGGCCATATAGTTTATAAAATAAATTTTGTTTTTGGGTTTTAGATAAAACATTTGCTGTGCACACGATACGACCATTCGCTAAAAAATAGTTCCTTTTTTGACTGGCTATCGCCATTCGTAAAAATTTTTTTTTTTTAATTCAACATATGTAATTTGATATACTAATAAATAAAAAGTTGGATTCTTAATAGCTTTGTCAAAATAAATTTTTTAAAAACCCTCCAATTTTCAGACGTTCAGGGTGGTCTAACCCCTTAAATTAAATCTGTACGAATATTGGTAATTGCATACATATGTCCTTTTGCATTTTATATTGACTTTGCATTCTCTGTAATATAAGAAAGCAAAAGTCAAAGTAAATGCTTTTGTTTAAGAGATTGGCGTCAAAACAAAACAAGCAATTTTTTATTACTTTTTTTGATTGAAGCAACATTGTTGTTTTCGGGTGTTTGACATCGATTTTTTTAAATTTATTTTGGAAAATTAAAAATTTATTTATCTTGATCAATCTAACCATTTTTTTTTGTAACCATGTTAAACATACTCTTTTATCTTGATCAATCGAACCATGTTTTTATAACCATGTTAAACATACTCGTTTTAAAAACGTTTACAATTATGGCCGCGGTGGAACTTTCTGGAGAATTGCCCATTTATAAAAATCGGGTTTTCACTAAATTTAAACCAAAATTTTAGAATAATTTAAAATGGGTATATTTAAAATTTGATGAAAACTTTAACAGGTAAATTTATTAATTATATTAATTGTTATGATATAGTAGTCCGAAATCTACAAAATTCGAAATGGCTATATCTGATTAAAATTGATTAAAATTAGTCGTTAAGTGGAAAAGTTTTATTGTTTTGACGCTTTAATATTTTAATATTGAGCTCTCGGCAGTAAAACGAGAGAACGTGTAACACTTTCATTGTCGTACGTGCCGGTGAATTTTGCAAAGCTTCCCCTATTGAGGTGATTCAAGCAACAAAAGACGCAGAAGTAGCTGTTGTAACCGAATGGGTTCTGAAACACGGCCCATAAAATATCGACGCCTCCTTCTGGCTACCTTGCAAGAATATACATACATATAAAAATATTTATACAGCTAATATTCAACTTCATTTTTTAATTATATAATTCCTATGCTTTTTCGTTCGACTTTAATATAAACGTTCTGGTTAGGTATGTATTCTTCTCTTAGCTCTTTACTCTTTAGAGTTACGGAAAACTGCTTATTTAGGCAACACATTGAATCACATATATTAAGTGAAAAAAAATGGTCATAATATTGCTGATTTCACATAAGAGATCGGGATGAACAACCTGCACCTGCATTTTACATATTCCGTTATCTATAGTTCCGGAAGATTGATCTAAATTCACGGCTCGGTTTACAGTTTTTAATACCCATGTCTGGGGGGCTTCATTGGTAAATTTGAATTCTTGTGAAAGGCGAAAATGAAAAGAAATTGTACTCTTTTCACTAAAGTGCAGAGACATTGCCTTAATCACGTGATGCGTTGATTCGTCCTTTAATAAATTTATTGTTTCTTGTGCATCGGTTTCACTAATAGACGTTACTTTACTAAAATCCAAAGAAAACGGTTGTGCCTTTAACGTTTTTAAGTCTATAATGTGTATTGTATGATTGTTTGTATCCGAAATCAGCAGATTTCGACCATCGACATCCACGCACAACCCAGCTGGCTCATTTAGAATTAAATCGGTTTCGTCATGGCTTTTGATTGTCAACGTTGATATGTTACTATCTTCTATATTAATAATCTTAATCTTATGATTATAGGTATCAGCTACATATATCCTATTATTAACATTGTCATAGGTAACTGCCAGTGGATGTTGAAGTTTCGCATTAAAAAGTTTTCCATCCGCGTCGCCAAAAGCAAAAAGATTCTGTAAAGGGAAATATCCATATATTAAAATAAATAAATATACATGGATACAACTATCCTCGGTTTCTAAATTTAAGTGCACATATGTACACATACTTACAAGTGGGTTCCGATCTCCTCCGACAACTGGCATTACCTTTCCATCGATCATTGAAGCTTTACGTATGCTAGAGCTTTCGCTGTCAGCTATGAACAAATAGTCCTTTGCCATTGCCAGACCAGATGGCTGCGCGAAAGCTGCATTTTGAGGGTAGGAGTTGTTTCGATTTTCCTCCAAACCGTTTCCGATCAATGCAACACAACAAAGGGGCTCGAATTTACGGAACTTCCACCAAATAATACCTTCGGGAAAATAGCCCCAAATTTGGTGGGTGCCGGCCATCGAAATGAGCACAATAGGCTTTTCTGGCACGTTTCGTTCATCAAGATGAAATGACATATCCATATCTCGTGTGCGAAATATAGCCACATCCCAAGGAGATGATATAGGTTGCAGAATGCCCACGCGCCCTCCAGTACGTTCGCTTCCCTGAACCCCTGTGCCAGCAAGAGTATCCACCTGATTATTTGTTAAACAGATTTTTCGAAGATAGTGATTTTTGGTGTCGGCAACGATCAGAACGTTTTCGTCTATAAATGCCACACCCTGTGGGCTGTTAAAGCGTGCGCTTATTAAATTTCCGTCAGCAAAACCAGCTTGGTAGCCTCCAATCTTGTGTTCTACCACCCCATTCTTTGCCACAACAAGGATGCGGTTATTACCGGAATCTGCAATTGCATATTTGTCCCCACGTGGACTTCGTGCAATTTTAGCTGGAAAACGCAAATTAGATGCCGGGTGCAAGTTATTTGAAGATAACTGCAGAGGCAAGTTGCCGTGGTCAATTTTTCCAAGCCTTTCAAAAATAATAAAGCCGATCTAATGAATTCTTCAAGAAATTTTCTGTGTCCTTCACCCATCAGTAATAACAAAGGTCGACCAGTGGGGCTTAGAACCATTAGAGATGGCCAACAGCATATTCCCAGGAGGCGCCACATGGCTGATCTGGAATCATTAACAATGGGATGTGTGATTCCATATCGATGCACAGCTGACTGAATGTTAACAGTGGCTCTTTCATTTTCAAATTTTGGACTATGCACACCTACGACTACAAGTCCACTTTCGACGGGAAACTGTTCTTCCAAACTGTGCAATTCGGGTAATATGTGTATACAATTAATGCAGCAATATGTAAAAAAGTCAAGAACAACTATTTTTCCTCGTAGTCCAGCTAACGACAATGGTCGACTAACATTAAACCAATCCAAGTCTAAAAGAAAAGCCATTAGAAAGTTATTTCATGGACATATACATATAAATATTTTAGATGCATACCAGGTTCAAATTCAAAGTTAAAAGACTTCAGAATTTTAATTGAATTGTCGCTCTCCCATCGCTCAAAAAATTCCATAAGCACATTGACTTTCTCAGTTTTACCATTGCCGTTTTCATATGCTTGTTGAAGTTCATCCGTCATAAATGTAAGTATATCCATAAGCGGAAGATCGGCAGAAAATTCCATTTCAGGAAAATTAAAACGCGCACAAATACTACGAATAACCTGTTTCTTCTACTGGGGGTGAGAAGCATTCGATGTATCAATTAGGGATGTGAAATATATGTACATACATATATAACAATATCGATATTTTCTGAACAGAAACAACTCAGTGAAAAAGTTATTTCAGGCTCTATCAGGATTATTCATGATTATTTTATAATTTTTATATTATTTAATAATTTGAGTTCTAATGTTATTAAAAAACGGGCACTATATTATATAGGTGCCATATGAATGATTAAGAATAAATAGAAATCGATTTTCTAAGCACTCATCAATGGTTCATTAACAATTAATCGATGATTCATCAACGTGTCATCAGAATTTCATCGGTATTTTAGGTCGAACCATATTTTTTTGTTTTATTTTTTTTTGCCCTTGACAAATTAAGTACAAAAAACACCCACCGCGCTTACATTATTGAGAAAGGCACAGTGCAAGAGGCCCTACATGCCGATTTTTACTGATGACAGGTTGATGACATTTGGTACAACAGGTTTTATACAAGTTAGTTTATATGTACATACATGCATACATATGTACAACATATGTAGATACCATCAAGACGATCGTTAAATGTTGAAGAAAATGTAAAACTGTAATTTTAATATTTAAAAAATTACATTTTAAAACACATTTTTTATATGTATGTGTATAATTCCAGTAAATTTTTGTTCCTTTCAGACGAGCAAATTTGTGATAACTAAGTGATAACTAGATTAGTAACATAAGATAAACATTCTTCAAGATGCAAAATTTCATATAAGAAAGGGTAGCGAAAATAAGAAAAACAATATACATATGTAAGTACATTAGCTTTCGCTATGTAGGGTACTAACGTAAGATAAATATAGCTAGCAAAAAATATAAAGCGTTGACAGATCTGAAAACTAAATAGGTGTGATTTTGCGAGCGAAAAATTTTATTCGTAGGGAAAGATTTTTTAACTGGAAAAAAAATTTTGTAGTTAATAATTACTTAAATAATTGATAATAATTAATTAATAATTGCTGTAACGATAGCCTCAATAATATGAGATTTGTTTTTGGGAGGCGATGGCATTGGTGCTGTGGTGTTTTGCAGTCAGCTCCATAGTGTAGAGGTGCAGAAACATCGACTGAAACATCGATGTTATCGATGTGAGTGAGACTGAGGGATGGTAGCCGACCCTTTGAAACACTGACGACATGTGCTGCAATTATATTTGTCAGTTGGACTCGGAAATTTCCTACTTAAATAAAATGAGTTGTCCCCATTCAAATTAGGAAATTTAACAGATATACAAATTTTGCTCAAACCACTGAGACGGAAATCATTTTCCTCCACAGCATGCACAGCGTTCAGTTGGTCCGACCTTAATATTCCGAAAATATTGTTCCCTCGCATTGCCTCGCTTCCTCTGGCGTTGGCGTTCCCTTTGATCATCTTCTTTATCCGTGGAAAGTTCGGCTATAATATTACTGTTTCGCTCTGACTGCCATAAAAATTCAGCCTGGCGATTTTGGGAAACATCTATATGGGGGAGACGCTCCTCAGCCATTTCATGAAGTTCCTGCTTTCGAATTCTCCGCTAAAGACGAGTGTTGCGATGATGGATTGTGTTTCTTTGTTGCTCCCTTTCTCAAGTTATTGGGTTGATCCTATGAGCTTCGGCGTAGAGGTGCAGAAACATCGAGTGAAATATCGATGTTATCGATGTTTGCAAATCATCGGAACCATCGATGGCTGGGTCACCACCATCGATGTTTTTTCACACAACTCCGAAAAAGAAAACCTTGGAGAAAATGAAGACCCTTTAAAATATTGGAAGGAAAGACTTTGAAATTTTTATCCGGAAAATGCTAATTGACGCCGATCCAAATCCCGGGAGTTGCCATCTAACACCCGTGCTCCACCGAAACAAGAAATACCAGATCTTGTAGCGTATCCAACACTCGGACTTGAAGTGTGGTAATGAGCTTGTGGATGTTTTATTCTGTTGAGGAAGTACAAACTTAGAATTAACCTCAACCTATTTCCCCTTTACATACCGCAGTATCTCCTCCCTTCTCTGCTGGGATCGCCGATCGGAATAACCGTGGCGCCGAACTTAACATAGCTTTTCGGCCATAACAGTGTGGCCAATTACAAACATAGTTCAAATACCGAGTACATACTTAACGAAGGTTCGCCTTAGTGGCGCGTAATTCAAACTTGACTGACTATCGATATTCTAGCGGGTTAGCTTATCCGTTCCGCGACATCCCCGCCCCCGTGAAGCAGCCGCATTCACCACATCCAGAACAGCTAGCTTCGAAGCGGGACGAATCATCCTGGCTCGATCGTCCGTCCGTACCGCCGCTCGCCTGGGCACTCCATCTACTCCAGTGAACACCTCCTCCACGATTCCTCGTTTCCACTCTCGACGTGGTATGGCCGGATCGCAGATGAACACTAAGTCTCCTCGGCGCAGGGGCTCGACATGTGAGCACCATTTCTCCCTGCGCACAAGAGTAGGCAGGTACTCGTGCACCCATCGCTTCCAGAAGCGGTCTCTCATCATCCTGGCCAGTCGCCACTGCTTCTTCGTGGCGCACCTCTCCAACGGCTGTCCATTGTCTCCGGGTAGATCCGACAGATTGGGTACTCCTCTCAGCAAGTCGTTGGAAGTCAGTGGAGCCTCCTGGTCCACAGTAACTGGCAGATGCGTTAGTGGGCGGGAATTTACTATGTTCTCCGCCTCGATCAACAAGTTCTCCAGAACATGTTCCATGGGAGCCAGCTCCCTCATCGTATGTGCCAGCACCTTCTTGACGCACTGGACCATCCTTTCCCAGGCGCCACCCTCAGCTGGGTTCGCTGGGCAGTTGAATATCCACTCGATTCCTTTGGACGACAGCTCGCCCTGGATCTTCTCTGGCTCGAAAACCTCATTGAATCTCCTGGCCTCTCGATTGGCTCCAACGAAGTTTTTCCCATTATCGCTCCTCATCTTGACCACCGGTCCTCGCCGGCTCATGAAGTTCCTCATAGCGATGATGCAGTAGTCTGTAGATAAATCATGGGCCATCTCCAAATGGATGGCTCTCGTGGTTAAGCAGGTGAACAGTGCCACCCACCTCTTCTCGATGCGACGTCCAATCGTCACGTGCAACGGTCCAAAATAATCCAAGCCCGTGTGCTTGAATGGCCATCCGTTGGCTTCCAGTCGGTCCTCTGGCAAAGGACCCATTATTGGCTGCATCGGCTGTGCCCTCCGCAGCTTGCAGATCTGGCAGTCAGCCACCACCTTCCGTAGCAGCCTCCGTAAGTTCGTTATCCAGAACTTCTTCCGTATCTCGCCTATGGTCGCATCGTGGTTCTGATGGCCCATCTTCTGGTGGTAGTGGTGTACTACCATCACCGTCAGCGTGTGTCTGTGGGACAGTATAATGGGGCGCCGGGCGCTGTATGGCACACAAGCGGCGGCGTCAATCCTTCCCCTTACACGCATGACTCCATCGTCGTCGAAATACGGGGACAGCCCTCGCAATTGGCTGCCTTCTTTCGAGATCCTTCCAGCTTTGTCCCTCTCTTCTCCGGGGAACGCTTCACTTTGCGCCTGCCGGATCAATATGCGCTCCGCGTTGGCGCATTCGTTTGCCGTGAGTCCATACTTCTCACGGTCGCTATACTGGCCGCGACATCGTCGGACAAATCTTAGGACCCAAGCCATGGTCCTTACCAGCCGGTTGTAGTTTGAGAACCTCTGGAAAGATATAAAAAATCCGTTTGCAGTCACTAGCGCAAACTCACATGGCATCTCTTCCTCGTCGGTGGCTCTCGTGCAGCCACTTCCACTAGAGGAGCTCTCTGGCCAATTCTCTTCTATTCTAGCCATCGTGACCCTTGACTGAGGTCCACATGGCGTCGCGGCCTGGTTGCGTCATCTGCCACGTTCTCGGCAGTTGGTACCCATCTCCATTGGGATACTTCCGTCGTCTCCAGGATTTCTGCCACCCGGTTTCCAACAAACTGTTTATACCGCCGGTGGGTGCTGCTTATCCAGTGCAGCACTGTCTTAGAATCCGTCCAGAGTACGTATCTGCTTATCTCTACACTGTGTTCCAGTTTCACAGTGTTCATCAGCCGTGTTCCCAGCACGGCTGCCTGTAGTTCCAATCTCGGGACTGACATTGTCCTCATCGGAGCACATTTCGTTTTGGCACATACGAAATGCACCCGCACGTCGTCGTTTGCGTAGGTGGCCCGCCAATACGCCGTCGCAGCAAACGCCGACTGGCTGGAGTCCACGAAGACGTGCAGCTGGAGTGCTCGTACTCGTCCAGTACCAAAATAGTGTGGACATCGGAACTCCTTCACATAGCTCATCTCTTGCCGCCAGCTCTCAAATGCCGTGGCTAGCTCGTCTGGCAATGGTTCATCCCATGTGACTCCTTTCCGCCAAATCTCTCGCATAAGTAGCTTGGCGGTTGTAGCAGCTCAAGAACCCAATCGGATCAAACGTGGACATCACCAAGCTGAGGAACTCCCTCTTGGTAGGGACACGTTCCCCCGTCATCACGCTGCTGGGAACCCGATGGTACTTGACGCTGAATCTGAAGTCATCTGTAGCTGGGTGCCAATACATGCCCAATACCTTCTGCTCGGATTCGGTCCACTCGACGTTCTCGTTGGTGCCTAACGGACTTAAGGCTCTGACCAATCTCGCCGAGCTGGAAGAAAACCGACACAAATCGAAACCGGCACTTGCGTGTATCTCTCTTACTCGTTTTGAGACGGCTATAGCTTCATCCTCGTCTGCGAAGCTATCTACGTAATCGTCCACATAGTGGTACTCATTAATAGCCAGGACCGCCCGGGGATCAGTGTGCACGTGCCTTGAAGCATTTACAGTCTTCACGTGCTGCGCTGAGCATGGCGAACAAGCAGCTCCAAACGTCATCACTGTCATCTCGTAGATCTCCGGGTCTTTGCGGTCATCTCCGTGCCTCCACAAGAATCTCTGGGCGCATCTATCTTGTGGCTGCATCAATACCTGGTGGAACATCTCCTTGATATCCGCACAGACTCCCACGGCTCCTTCCCTAAAGTGCAAGAGGACAGCCGGGAGTGACTTGTACTTCTGGGGGCCTTTCAGTAGTGCTGAATTCAGGGATACGCCGTTCACTTTGGCTGCTGCATCGAAAACTAGACGGATCTTCCCAGGCTTGTTTGGGTTTTCGACCCCGAAGTGCGGCAGGTACCACAACTTGTCACGGTTACCATAAGTGACCTCCTGCTGCTCTAGTCGTCGTGCGTATCCCTTCTTGACGTAGTCATCCATGATCGCATTGTAGGCCTGCGCGAAGTTCGCATCGCGCTTCATTTTCCGTTCGATGTTGACGAGTCGCCGTAGTGCCATGTTGTAACTGTCTGGCAGTCTTGTCTCGTCATCCTTCCATAGCAGCCCAGTCTGGTATCGTTGACCTATCCGTTTAGTCGTCCTCTCCAAGATGCCCAGGGCCCGTTCATCGTCGCTGGCTGCGACCGGTGGCGCTGGCTTCACTCCGAAGTTCTCTATTTCGAAATAATCGCTGACCATCTTCTCCAGAGCGTCATCCTGGGTAACGGCTAGTAGGCACGATCTCTCCGTCAGTGGACTCGCTTGGCGTCTCACTGGTCCATATACTACCCATCCTAATTTGGTAGCTGCTGCGTATGGTCCTCCTGCGCCGAACCTTCTGGTCTGCAGGGGAATTCCTAGGTGCGCGTGATCCAGTCCAATAAGGATCCTTGGCGCTGCATTATTGTACGGCTTCACTGGTAGGCGTGCGCTCGCCCTTGGCGTCTTGACATCTTCCCGACGTAAACTCTGCATCGGAAGACTCAGGTTGCTTACTGCGTACACGTTCCTTAAACCGTGCCGCTTCGGTTTGCCCGCTCCACTGATCTGCAGGCTAACCCTCTTCGTAGGCTCTCTGGCGGACTTACCGCCAAACCACTGCACGTTTAGTTGTCGGCTCTCACCCTTTAGGTGTAGGCTTTGGACGAGCTCGTCGTCTATGAGTGTCACAGACGATCCCTCGTCGAGGTGGCCTCCATCCGAATCGACACAACTAAGGTTTCGATGCGGCGTCTCCTGGCCGCTTTGATTCTCATTTTCCATGCGCCCAGCGCTTCTCAGGCTTGTTGCTTGGGCCATGGAAATGTTACTCACTGTTGGATCCGCTGACTGCGGCATCCGCTTGCGTTGGCTGATGACCTCGTGTGGCTCCCGTCTGTGGGTGCTCCGTAGCTCCCTCCTGTGGCCACAGTCTGACTGCTGTGACCGTCTGGGGCTATCGGCTTCGTCATGCAGCAAGTAGTGATGCTTCCTCTGGCATCCGTAGACGTTGCACTTACGGCTCCTCTTGCAGAACCGTACCATGTGCCCGGTTTCAAGGCACGCGAAACAGATCCGCCGCTTCTTGGCGAACTCCAATCGCGTCCTGACAGGGGCGTTGTTGAATTCCTTGCAATCCTTGATTGCGTGTTGCCCTCCACACATGAGGCAACCTCTGGGGTGGTCATTATACCCCTTCTGTTCCATGTCTTCCCAATGCTCATCATGCATCGGAAGCTCCAGATTCGTGTTTGCATGTAACACCCTTCGCTTTGGGGTTTTACTGCTCACGTCCGTAATGGTGCATACCAGCTTAGCGAGCTCGTTTAGCCATTCACTTAGGTGCACTATCGTCGGGTATGGTTCCATAGCGACCGCGTATCTGGCCCAGTCCAACCTCTTACTTAGGGGCAACTTGGCGATCAGCTCCTCCATCAGGGTGGGATTTCCTATATGCTGGTCGCCGCTGTCGGTTGACTGCAGAAACGCTGCAAGATTGCTCACCCTCGTGGCGAACGATACAATCCTGCTTATGTTGTGCTCCTGAATTGGCTGTAGCTCCCGCACGCTCTCCAGTTGGCTCCGGATCAATTGCTCCGGACGCCCATAGCGAAAGCGAAGCTGTTCCATTACGGCCTGTACATTGTTGGGATGAATAAGCAGTGTCTTGACTGCCGTCCTCGCTTCACCCTTCAATGCCTTCACTAGCCTTTGGTTATTTTCCAATGCTGTACACTGATACGCCGCCGTCGTCTCCAAGAACGCGCACTGGAATATTGGCCATTCCTCTGGCTGACCTTCGAACTCTGGAAGATCAGGCAATCTGCGTGGCGTCCATTCATTGGCCACACCCGCTGTTCCATAGGATCCGGGTGATGGCGTGGGTACAGTGAATCTGCGTTGTGGCTCCCGTGGTGCGTGAACATAACCTCGTTCTGGCTGCACCGTGGCCGTCACGCAACATGGCGGTGAGTAGCTTACAGTTGTACAGTCTGTCAGTGTGACTCGTTGCCCTATTGCCGCATTACCACTCAAATATGGCGGCAAACTTCCACTCAATTGTGGCGGCAGATTTGCACTCAATTGTGCCGGCAACTGTTCATCATAAGATGGCGTCACTGACGCTAGTGGTCCCGTTGGCAGATTTTCACTCAATTGCTGCCTTACCATTGCGCTCAAACATGGCGCCTCTCCTAGCGGTGTATTCGCCGCACCGCTCACTCCGACGCCACTCGACCCGTTCCTAACGGGATTCCTGGCGGGCGCCGCAAGTCCTTCATTTGCCCTTGCCTGTTGGAGCTCCTTCTCTAGATTTGCGACCCTTTCCATAAGCTTCGCAATCTGTGAAGTCGTGGGGTCCACATCCTGCTCCAGCGCTTCCGTCTGGGCAGGTCCAGTGGTGCGTTTTACCCCGATTCCTTCCTCTGGAGTCCGTGGCCGCTGTGGGCCACCGTCTGCATACGCCAAGCCGGCCGGTGTGCCGGATGCTGCAGATGTGGTCGTAGCTGCGGTAACCTCAGGTTGATTAAGTCTGGGGCTCCGTCTGGGCGAATGTGTCGTCGGCATATCACGCGTTTAACTCCGTACGTGTTTTCCAAATGCCGTTAGAGTTCCGACTCTAATGCGAATTGAGATGCGACTCAAAGAATGCGAATAAAGAATGCAAATAAAAGAAATGACGCCGATCCAAATCCCGGGAGTTGCCATCTAACACCCGTGCTGCACCGAAACAAGAAATACCAGATCTTGTAGCGTATCCAACACTCGGACTTGAAGTGTGGTAATGAGCTTGTGGATGTTTTATTCTGTTGAGGAAGTACAAACTTAGAATTAACCTCAACCTATTTCCCCTTTACGTACCGCAGTATCTCCTCCCTTCTCTGCTGGGATCGCCGATCGGAATAACCGTGGCGCCGAACTTAACATAGCTTTTCGGCCATAACAGTGTGGCCAATTACAAACATAGTTCAAATACCGAGTACATACTTAACGAAGGTTCGCCTTAGTGGCGCGTAATTCAAACTTGACTGACTATCGATATTCTAGCGGGTTAGCTAATCGGTTCCGCGACACTAATTGACCATTTTTTTTTTATAGATGAGTACTGATTACTGTTCTTTAAAATTGGTAGCAGCCAAATACTTGTCTAAACAAGTCATGCGAAGCGGAAAGAGTGTTCAGCAAAGCTGGACAAACCATGACCGCAGGACAAGGCTCTGTGAACAAGCTTTTATTTAACAATAAGAATTCACATTTCAATAATACTATTGATAGTCCTGATATCACAGATCTCAAATAAAATCTAGTCATATTGTTAAATTCCATTTTTTTTTTAGAAACATCGATGTTTCACTCGATGTTTTTCTTTTTAAACATTGAAAACATGGATTGACGCACACATCGATGTTTTTGCATCCCTACCATAGTGGCGAATAAATCATTAAATCGTAATCCAATGTCCAATAAGCTGGCTCAGCAGTCAGTGTGACCATTTTCGTGCCCTTTTGTCACATTCTTCAAGCGGATTTATCAAGCCCTGATACTAAAATATATAAATAAAAAGTATTTAAACAAAATGCACGAAATTGGTCACACTAACTGTTAAAATCATTTTTCTAAGTAAAAGAAAATAACTAAAGTGGTAATAAAATTAATTCAAATATTTGATTTTGGAATACTATTTATTGATGTATTCGACGTAATTGACCCGTCGCCACCAAAAGATGAATATTTCCGTTTTTAGAAGTGATTTTCGTAAATAAAATTTTTGATTTTTAAAACATGTATATATTTCGAAAGCTTGTGTGGAGGGAAAAATCAAAAAATAAAGGCATTGCTGGCATGGAGCCCCTTTTTTGACGTCGAGAACAGGTTTAAATTGAGAAATGCGGAAAAGACAAAGTCCATAATCTGATATTTAACTCACAGTAGAGATTTAAATCACACAAATAATCTGTTATAGGTTGACTATGGCGTTGTCGCCTCCTGTTATTTGTCTTCAACTCTATCCAAGCCGTTGTAATTAATTTTAATTTCACTTTATAAATTTGTTTAAAAGAATAAGCAGAATGAACGTTTCAATCTGACCCATTCATTTAATTTGTGCAATAATTTGTTTGGCAATTTCGCCATATATACTTAAAAAAAACTGTCTGTGGATTTATTATGAAATAATTAAATTTTACATTCTCGGATACATATTTTAGCATAATAAATAAATATATTTTTATTTTGTTTAGGACAAATTCGCTCATGCCGTTGTCATTGAAATCTCTTACATAGCCCCTTGCCGCAGATATACGGATAGAACCATGATAACAACATAGAATTTTGCAAATAGTGATGGGCGATGAACAAAAAGTGGCAAAAAGGGATCGATGGTAACCATCGATAATATCAATATTATCGTCGATTGCTTTATAGATCTTTTTTGGTGGATTTGATGATTACGTAAGACTACTTATAAATAGTTTATGTTTTGTATTGCATTAAAATTAATAAAATGATTGCACTTCAAATATTGCGTGGCCGGCTTGTTACTCTGCGGTCCAATGTAAACCCTACTTTTTTTTCCCGGTCACATTTTACATATCATCCGACCTTTTCGAGTTCTGGGAAAAAAATGAATATGTTTAACGCCATTAATAATGCAATGGATTTGGCGCTAGAAAATGATAATTCAGCTTTATTGTTTGGTGAGGATGTGAGCTTCGGGGGAGTTTTTCGGTAAAGACAACAAAGAATGCCGCTTAAAAGACTTCAAGTACATCTGTGTATATGTTTTCAACAGGTGCTCAGTTAATCTGCGAGATAAGTACGGAAATAACCGAGTTTTTAACTCGCCGTTGTGTGAGCAGGGAATTGCTGGGTATGTCATTAAAACTCTAGAAATAATTATTTTTCTACACTTTACAGAAAATGAAGGTTATTCGATTTTTCACAATTACATATGAACAATTCTCTGGTTTCGAATGCGACATTCGTACACATTCAAACTAACATATGCCAAGACTTTATCTTAATTTTACAAAGATTGAAAAGTATTGCTCTTGGTTAGCACTATAATTGGTGCTAAGGTAGATTTTGGGCCTATGTTCGTTTTCAAAATATTTATTAAAATGTACTGCGTTTCCACGCGACAAAAACAGAAGTTACATTAGCAAGAAACCAGTTTAAGCTCTGATTGCAGCGAAACGTGATGAAAAATTGTATTACAATAAATTTTAATAAATTATGCAATGAATTTCTTAATAATGTGCTTTGTTTGATTTTAAAATATTAAGTAATTCTTTTTATACCCTTGCCGGGTATTATAATTTCAGTCAAAAGTTTGCAACGCAGTGAAGGAGGCACCTCCAACCATATAAAGTATACAGTTTGTCAAGTAATTCTTTGCAAAACGAAAAATCCCTCACAATTTTGGGTTTAAACTGAAAATTTATTGACAAATACAAGAATTTTTAAAAATTTTCTTTTATAATATTATTAATATATAATAGCAGAGCTCACTGGAGAACTGCTATTTCTGTTAGCTTAACACTCCTCATAAAATTTACCTATTGTTAATTAGACAGATTGTAAATAAATAATAAAAAAAAAACAAAAATAATATTATTAGGATAACTTTAATCTATAAATATAAAAAAAAAAAACAAAACTTAAATATTTAAACTTAAAACATAGTAAAAAATAACAAAAACAAAAACATTGCAATTCGTATGCTGTCAATTAATTCTTTGCAATTTGCAAAGACGTTATAGTTTACCAAGGATAACTTAAAAACTATAATAGCTGCGACGTTAATATTTTATGTGGAGTACATTTGCATCTATTACAACATGGAGGCGTCGCGACATTGGCATTATTAGCCGCTTCAAGTCGTAATATTCTGGAATTTTCTCCCATTTCTCCTATATTACTTTAATTTAATTTTTATTTGTTGGAGTCTGTTTAGTCACTTTCTTTTCCAAAAAATCCCAAAAATTGTCAATGAGTGTCAATGACTTTTTTGCAATTAACAGGAGCCAGGTCCTGCACAGCTGCGATTTGAGCTGGAGTTCGTTTTCCTGGTGCAGTTAATATTTATTTCTTTTTGGACAAGTTACGTCATGCAGACCAAATTTCTCCGCGCTTCTGGTCAATTCCTTTTTAAGGATGTCCAAATAAAACTCCTTCGTCATTATATCATTAAAAATCCGCAGCTCCTTTGGATGATATGCACCCCCTTATCATCACAGAAAACTTGCAAAATTTGAATGTTGGTATGATATTCTTCGGCTGGACACCTGTGTTTGGTTTCCTCCAAACTTTATTGGGTCAGCCATGAGTGTATAGCATTATTTTAGTCTCGTCACAAAAAAAAACTTCATCCCCATACTCAGGAGGCTGGTTAACGAGGCCGATAGATAAATAAATAAAATCGCCTTTGAATCGCCTGAAAGCATTGATATCTTCCTGGCTATGTGTCAGCAGTATTTGTGGAGATTCAGGACTTTCCTCACAGTCTCATGGCAAGCAGTTTTTCTGCAATAATTTTATAAGTCCAAAGCCAACTTTCTGAGGGTTGTTGGCGGGTTTTTATCAATTTGTTTCGAAATTTTATAACGGTCGCGCTTGGAGAGCTTTTGGTAATCTGCCTGTAGAATTGTACAGGTCAAGTCTATTTTTCTTTTTAGACCGTTTAATTATTTTATATATTGTTCCTAACTAAATATCAAAAATTTCTGAATGTTCCGACGCCGATTACCCTTTATAATGGTTAAAGTAAACCAATTCTATGTTATTATCGTCAATTCGTTTGCCGGGCATGATTAAAATTCTGGACTCGATCAAACACGAACTTTTTCCAACAAAATTTTTCAAGAATATAAAAGTAAAGACCACTAAGAAGTGGCAAGCGTTAATTTTCCTCAGAATTTGCTTTGCGTTGCTTAATTCTAGGAACCTCTTCAACTCCTGTTTGCATTTTGCAAAGAAATAATTGACAGCATACGAATTGCAATGTTTATGTTTTGCTATTTTTATACCCTTGCAGGGTATTATAATTTCAGTCAGAAGTTTGCAACGCAGTGAAGGAGGCACCTCCGACTATATAAAGTATATATATTCTTGATCAGGACCAACAGCCGAGTCGATCTAGCCATGTCCGTCTGTCCGTTTCTACGCAAACTAGTGTCTCAGTTTTGAAGCTATCTAAATGAAACTTGGTAGTTAGCCTTCTAAATACTCTCACTCGTATATACATATGTCGGAACGGGCCGGATCGGACGACTTTATCATATAGCTGCCATAGGAATGATCGGAAAATTTTTACAAAAAAAATTATAACATTTTTAGTTTTCAACAGAATTTGATCAAATTTATATATATATATATACATATATAGATATAGCCATTTCATATTATTCTACAATTTTGTGTAAAATTTGATGAAAATCGGACGACTATATCATATAGCTCCCATAGGAACGATCGAGAAATTAATTCAATTAAAAAGTACATTTTCATTTTTTAACAGATTTTCATCAAATTTGAGATATAGCCGTTTTATATTATTCTACAATTTTGTGTAAAATTTTATGAAAATCGGACGACTATATCATATAGCTCCCATAGGAACGATCGAGAAATTTGAGAGGAATGAGAATGGCGGTGGCTGTTGTCGGAAGACTGACAATCGCGGTGGCGATAACATTTTTAGTTTTCAAGAGAATTTAATCAAATTTGAGATATAGCCATTTCATATTATTCTACAATTTTGTGTAAAATTTTATGAAAATTGGACGACTATATCATATAGCTCCTATAGGAACGATCGCAAATTTAATTCAATTAAAAAGTATAACATTTTCAGTTTTCAACAGATTTTCATCAAATTTGATACATAGCCATTTTATAAGAAATAAAAGAAGTTAATAAAATTAAAGATTATAACTTCTTCAGTTTTCACCAGATTTTCATAAAATATCATTTTATTTTAATCTAAATTTTGTGTAAAGTTATAAAAAAAAACCGGACTACTATATCACGAACGATCAAAAAATGAATACAATTAAAAATTATAACGTTTTCAGTTTTCAGCAGATTTTCATTAAATTTGAAATATAGCGTTTTATATCAGTCTTAAATTTTGTTGCAAATTTTATGAAAATCGGACGACTATATCACATAGGTGCCATACAAACGATCGTTAGATGTGGAGCAAAAATGCAAATCTGTGAATGTAAAACTGAAAATATAATATGTATAGGTGAATGAAATGAGAGCAGGTATTACTTTATTGTTTTTTTTAACATTAATATATATATATTTTATATTGTATGGAAGGAATCCAGGAAGTCATCGAAGTTCTATCTGCAAGGGTATATAAACTTCGGCGTGCCGAAGTTAGCTTCCTTTCTTGTTTACTATGTTTTAAGTTCAAATATTTAAGTTTTGTTTTTTATATTTATAGATTAAAGTTATCCTAATAATATTATAAAAGAAAATTTTTAAAAATTCTTGTATTTGTTAATAAATTTTCAGTTTAAAAACAAAATTGTGGGGGATTTTTCGTTTTGCAAAGAATTACTTGACAAACTGTATATACTCTTGATCAGGATCAACAGCCGATCCGTCTAGCCTTGTCCGTCTGTCCGTTTCTACGCAAACTAGTCACAGTTTTGAAGCTATCTGAATGAAACTTTGTAGTTAGTCTTCTATATACTCTCACTCGTTTTTATGTCGGAACAGGCCGGATCGGACGACTATATCATATAGTTGCCATAGGAACGATCGAGAAATTAATACAATTAAAAATTATAACATTTTCAGTTTTCAACTGAATTTGATTAAATTTGAGATATAGCCATTTCATATTATTCTACAATTTTGTGTAAAATTTGAAAAATGACAATCTGTAAATGTAAAACTGTAAATATAATACAAATATGTGAATGAAATGAAAGCAGGTATTTCTTCATTGTTTTTAATACGCTGTTATTAGTTTGGGATGTATGTATGTATGTAACGGAATCTTTGAACACTATTTTCAAGGGTTTCCAATTATCTGATAAGCTTGAAACTTTACATAAATACTTCTCAAAGACCGATGACTGCAATAATGTGATAAAAAATTTTCATTATCCTGATCAGGATTGATAAATTCTTTTTTTTTATAGAGCGACCGTAAAGGAGTAAGAGAGACAGAGCTATGGCGCGATCTGCGCATGCCTGCTGGACAAGCAGAACTTGATTGCTCAAAGTTAACAGGAAAAACCCCATCTTCCTTTTATTTCGGGTTTTTATAAAAGCGTGTTTTGTTTAGTTTTTTTTTTACTTTTATTTATATTATATTTTTTAGTGTGGGTACCTATAAACGCGAGTTTTTTTAATTTTCTAAGCTATCAGTTATTTTTCGTATTTAAGTTCGATTTATCAATAATCAATTTTTGCGGACTTGTAATTATAAAATATTTTTCGAACTATGTATTTCGTAATCTCATTATTTTATGATGCGCAGATCGAGTTCTAGCTCTGTCTCTCTTACTCCTTTACTGAGAATCTATAAGGGAATTTATCAATCCTAACGATCCTAATCAGGATAATTTTTATCAAATTATTGCATTGTCATCGGTCCTTGAGAAGTATGCAAAGTTTCAAGTTTATCAGATATTTGAAAACCCTTGAAAATAGTTTTCAAAGATTCTGTTACATACATACATTAATTTTAATTAATTTTAATAGCATTTAACTTAAGACGAAAACAAATTATGTGTAAATATTACACTATAGATGCATATATTTTTTTACTTATAACATTTTTCTATGAACTTCTTCTTCTGCATAGATTAATCTAAGCGATAAAAAAAATTCAGGGAAAATCTTGTT